CCCCGGAAAACAGGCAGGTGCAGATAAAAAAAAAAGGGGCGGTGAGCGGGAAGACAAGAAAAAAAGGCCCGCCCTGCTAGATGCTCAGACCAGGACCTTTTTCCGCTGAGCTCCGGATGTGATTGMAGGCCTAACTCAGTTGGTAAAGGCCGCGAGTGAGATTCAGGAGGTCGTGGGYTCGATCCCGATGGGCCTCATGTACCTTCTTGGGCATGCTAGGAGCCCGCCACCTAGAGACAGACCACCGGGTCCCCCGATCGGCACTGAGCAGAGTCTGCTGATGTTCGGACCTAAGGGGAGGCACAAGGATTGGCCCTGTCGGCGTAGTCCCTGATGACTACCGACTGTCCCCTGGTCGGTATCGCTCACCTGCAGGTGGGAAGCAGCCCCTGCAGGTGGGAAGCAGCCCCTGCAGGTGGGAAGCAGCCCCTGCATGTTGTCTCGCGAAAGGGTTTTGTCTGCTGCAGGGTTCCCTTTGTGCCTGCAATTGGGAATAGTGGTAGGTAGGTAGTATGAGGTGAAATTGAGAAAAGAACATATCTCGGTTTGGGGTCAGGTACATTCGGGCCTGGTGGTGTGACCCGGGGTGTCGAGGAGGGGAAAGAGGGCTGGACAGAGTGGGCAAACAGGGTCGGATTCARGCACGAACGAGGGAAAAAGGGGGGATAACTGTGCCCCTGCGTCTATTGGTACATCGCTGGACTGTCGAAATGCAGATCCGAGTTCGAACCCCGATGCAAACTGGTGAGTGGAAAGCAGCCTAGCCCAGTTGGTGCCTCCCATAACAGTTGGGAAATGGGCCTGGGCTCGAACTCTACCTCAAAAGCCGCGTTTAGCCTTTCGAACGGGCAGGAAGGGGGTCRAATTTTGAGAAAGATGTATCTGGCCCAGGGAAGAGGGAAGGTGCAAGGAGCGCAGAAAGGGAAAAGAAAGCGGGAAAGGTTCATGGGTGTACGGGTGTGCRTGAGAGGCAGTTCTTGATAACTGCCTCTGGACTTCTTGAAGGAGTGCGCGCACTAGTGAACGCAGGGTGTCGGGAGTAKAGGAGGGAGAAGGGGGAGCTGACTAGGGAGAACAGAACAGTGCTGGTGGGGCAGCACCAGGTCGGAGCCGACCGGGACAAGCTAAAGGGAGCAGAGGACGAAACCTTCGGGGAGTCTTGCCGGGGGAGGCAAGGATAGCGCACGCACAGCGCACGTCGGGGAGAGCCCGTACGGGAGTGAGCTGTGCACGGAGGAAGTAGAAGGAGARGGCACGCACGTTCGGCGCACGTCGGGAGCACTCGACAGCAGAAGGGGTAGTTCGCAGCGCACGAGAAAGAACGCGAGTGGGAGCTGCAGGACAGGTGGGAGAAGAAGCGCATGAAAGCTGCACGGAGAGAGGAGAGCGGGGCGATAAGGAACAGAGGAAGAGAGGAGCACGACAGGGTACGAGCGGAAGGACACACATTGCACGGAAGGGGTAAGGATAGCGGACGAGAGGCGCACAAGGGAGGTTGTGGCTTGCGACCCGAGGGAAGCGACATCGTGCTCAAGCTCAGAAGAACGCCCGGTCCTCTTGAGAAGGGAGAGCGGGGCCCCGAGAGGGCAGGCGTGGCAGACGCACAAGGGTACGGGAGGTAACACACACACACAACACATACAGAGAAGACGTACCTGGTGTAAAGGTGCATCAGGTGCATGTATCTCCCCAATGATCCAGCGAACGATCCGTTCTCATTCTGCACAGTCTTGGGATCGAGCAGCGAGCGCTGCAGCGTAGGAGGCTAGCCACATGAGGGAGAGAGGAGAGGTAGTAATACTTACCTGGCCGAACTTGGATAGTGACCATCGAGCGGTGCCTCATTTTTGCGGTGCCCATAACCATCGCGTAACTCGTTGTTGGTAGTCGGTGTTATGGTGTTGTTACCCTTTTTCGCAGTAGGATCTTCCTCTTCGAACGATCATCATCCACATCAAGTTGTGTCTGTGGGTGGGGGTGTCTTCATGTGGATCGCGATCTTTGTCGCAATGGCGGGGGACGTCTTCGTCATCCCGTGATCGTCGTGGTGGGCGTCGTTGGCACGCTAATCGTGCTCGCGGGGGTCGGATTGGCGCTATGACCGTAGTCCTCGTTGTCCCCACTCGATCTGCTTACCGTATTTACTTTCTTTAGTTGTTCGCTTGAACCTGGTATTCGTTGTGGCCACATATAGATCGACAAAAGGACTGTAGCCTGATAGAGAGTATCAGAGAGAGTATCTCAGAGAGAGAGAGAGAGAGAGAGAGAGAGAGAGAGAGAGAGAGAGAGACCGCTCTGAAGCCGCGGCAGCTCTCTGCTCCAGAAGGAGCTTCCTTTTTTTTCCTTTTAATCGCATGTACCCGACTGATGTTGCGGCCAAATCTATTCTGGATAGTGCTGGTGAAAATCCCCCTGGAGGAGTGGCAGCGCCGCAGAGAGAGAGAGAACGAGAGAGAGAGAGAGAGAGAGAGAGAGAGAGAGAGAGAGAGAGGGAGAGAGAGACAGAGAAGGCGCACTGTGAAGTCTTTTTTTTGAGAGACAGAGAAGGCGCACTGTGAAGTCTTTTTTTTTGGTAAATGTACCCGGACGGGTCCTTGCACAAAGTTCTTTGGTGTGGTAGGGGGCGCAACCACTACTACTCATACCGGCCGAACTAAGCATTGAAACCAAGATGTGACTGCACAGATCGATTCGCGGGGTCCGAAAACCCCGGAATCGAGTCTTGATTCGCCCAATGTCGTCGAGTATTGGGCAAGATTGAAGGTTTCCACCCTCTCCATATCCCTCTCCGCTTTCGTACCTCGCAGCTCCTTTCTTTTATAGCGCCCATCCAACCTCACTACTCGATCTGCCCGAGGCTAAAACCACGGAAGCGACTCTTGTGGGTACCAGTGCGTGCTGAAGAGAGAGAGAGAGAGA